CGGCCAACGGGAGCCGAGGGCGGCCGGGCTGGCGAGCACGAGCCGCCCCCCACAGCGGGGCCGCCCCGCGGAGCCCCCGGGCCGGCCCAGCGAGCGCCGCCTGCGCTGCCTGCGCGCCTGCCCTGCGCTCTGCGGTGGCGGGGACCGAGCGCGGAGCTGCTGCTGCCGCCGCCCGCCCGCGAGATGCGGGGAGCGGCCCCCGAGCCCTCGTGCTGGGGCTGGCGTCGGGAACGGCCCTTGGGCTGCTTTGGGCGAGCGAGGGCAAATCGGGGCTCGTCGCCTTTCCAGATTYCCGGACAGCTCGAGGAGGCGCTGTGTCTCAGCGAGGTCCCTGCGGCGAGGGGGACACGGAACCGTGCTCGTGTTGTGCTCGGCAGCAGCAGTTCTGCTTGGCTGGGACCGGAGCCCGGTTCTGAAGGCTGCTTCTGCCTGCCCTGCTGCGGCAGCACCAGGAGAGCGGCCCTCTTGGCGACACAGGCGGGACGAGAGGCGCTWCCCGCCGTCGGGCAGCGTGGCACAAGCTCGCGGACAAGCGGCCTTACTGCTCGGTTTGACTCTGAGGAGTGACCGGACACGAGCAGCGGGGCCTGCGGCGCAGGCAGCGCGGTGCGCGGCGCTGAGCGCTCGCGGCGGCCGCGCGGCTCCCGGGCGCTGCTCGGGCTCGGCGGTGCCGGTGCCGGGAAGCGGGTGGGCTCCGCGGGAACTGCGAGCGGGGCCGCGGGGAGCGAGCGCGGCGGGTGTCGCGGAGAAGGACGTGTCCCCGCGAGGGCAGGAGCCCCTTGCGGCTCCAGGCAGCCCGCGAGCCCCGCGGCTCTGGTTTCGGTTCCCGTAACCGAAGCTCCGCAGCTGCGGCGAGCGCGGGCTTCAGGAAGCGGCGGCTGCGGCTGCAGCAGAGGAGGCCCCGAAGCCGCTTCGCGCTTGGGCTCCGCGGAGCGACCGCGTCTGGAGCCGAGGGCGGCGGCAGCCGCAGCAGAGCCCGGGGCTGCCGCGGCGGTCCCCCCGCCTGGTGCCGCCCTGCGCTGCCAGCCCGGACAGAGCGCGGTTCGGGAGCTGAGCCCCCTGCGGGAATGGGCGCACAAGGAGCTGCCGGACACGGTCCCCTGCAACCGCCTCTCGCTGTTTGCACTGGTACAAGATCACTTAACGTCGGTGACTTTGCACTGCTGGGAAAAGCAGGAACTTGCGAAACCGGAGCGGAGCTTTGCCGCTTTCGAGCGAGCCGGTTTCAAGCGAGCGCGGAGCAGCAACCGCGCAGTGAGGAAATGCGATTTACAGAAACSAAGAGGGAGAGCAAGCAAGAAGGGAAATAAACAAAACGCCTTTATTTTTTCCCTGAATTCAGTTGYGGCTTCTGAATCAGCTTCAAGSTCTTTTTGTGTGTGAGAGTCTCTATGTACAATGTTGCATAAATTCTTTAATTCTTTAATAAACCTGTTCCTCGGAGTAGTGTCGTGTAGCCGCAGCTTCGTGGCACCTGAGGAAGACGTTTCTGCCTGGCGCGGGGCCGGCGGTTCCCGCCGATSCTCCCGARCGGCGACGCGCGCAGCAAACGCCGCCCCGCGCACAGAGCGCGCGCCAGGTCCCGAGCCCGAACCGCGCAGCCGTGTCACACCCGTGCCGGCCTCCAAAGGGCGGCTTTCTCCTCAGCGTTTCTTGGCTCAGTCTGGATTTTTAACCGATGTTTGCTCTTCTCTGCTACATTTCACAGAGGGATTTTTTGGTTGCTATAAAAAAAAAAAAGGGGGGGGGAAAAAGTAATAATTTCACATTTCTTGAAGTTTAATTTATTTCATTAGTTTCCAAATTTCTTAAGCATTAATCTCAGCTTCACTTCTCAAGAAACGGGCTTTGGTCAGTGYCCTTGGTCTTCCCGCGGGAGCTGAAGCAGAGCTTCGGTTGCTGCTGCTGAGTTGCTCACACTTCCACTAGGCTGAGGGAAGGGGTTAACGCACCTTTGAATAGCGACAGGAAGGASTGTGGCTAGTCCTGGTTTAAAAGGGTGCCGGGATGCAGGCGGCAGGAGGCCAGGGGAGAGGGTGCGCAGCATTGGGGAGGGCAAGGCCGGGCTCGGCCCCCCGGTGCCCCCGCGGCAGCGCGGCCGCCTCGCTGCGGGGCGCGGAGCGGAGGCGCCCCAGGAGGAACCTCCTCCCTTGTCCCCGBGGGCAGCCGCGTGTGCGGGAGGCACCTGCGCTGTGCGGGACGGCAGGAGGGAAAGAGGCTTCCCAGGTGCCACGAGGCTGCCGCTACCGGACCCTGCTCCGAGGAACAGGAAAAACTAGTCTGGTAGCGAAGGGGCAGGACAAGGACTTTACTCAACGTCTTTCAGGGAGAAACAAAAAAGAGCCTGAAGCTGATTCAGCAGAAATGATCGAGTTCAGAAAAGGCAGAGCAAAGTCATTCCCTTGAGAAGTGAAGCCCAGACTAATGCTTAGGGCTTGAGGATCTGTGCTTTTTCTCGTAGCAGAGAAAGAGCCCTCTGTGCAAGGTACAAGAGCAGAGCCCTCTGTGCAAGGTACAAGAGCAGAGCCAACAACGCTGAAAACTAAAGGGTGAGCTAAGAAACGCCGAGGAGAAAGCCGCCCTGCAGAGGCCGGCACGGGTGTGACACGGCCGCGCTGCTCGGGGCTGCAGCCCCGCGCTGAGGCACCCGACTCACTGACTGACTGACTTTCGGTATGAACAATATTGCAAGGCAGCCGTGTCAACAGGAAATCGAATGTACAGAACCGAAATTGACAGTCGAAAAGGAAACCAACATTTATTTTTTTTTTCTCTGAACTCAATCATTTTTGTCAATAAACTTCAAGGTGTTTTTGTGGCTCCCTGTGGGATGTTGAGTAAATAACTTCGCTATAGTTTCATTAATAGACTTATTTTCTTCCTTTTCTTCCAAATAGTGTCTGGTACCGGCAGCTTGGTGATAGCTGAGAAACTTTCCCTCTTTCCCTTCTGCCGTGTCAGAYGTCTGCCTGCCTTTATTTGTAAACATTGCTCTACTCTTGCASCTTTCACAGAGGGCTCTTTCTCTGCTATAAGAAAAACTTCGCAAACCCTCAAGCCCAATGCGGTAGTCTCGGCTTCACTTCTCGAGGAAATGGCTTTGCTCTGTGTTTGTGGTTTTCTTGCGGTAGCTGAAGCAGAGCTTTTCCTGCTGCGATGTTCCTGTYATTTCCACTATGGTGAGGGAAGAGATTGATGCAAATTTAAATAGCTACATGAAGGACTGTCACTAGTTCCTTGGGAGGAAGAACTTCACTGTGAGGGTGACAGAGCCCTGGAACAGGCTGCCCAGGAAGGTTGTGGAGGCTCCTTCTTTGAAGATATTCCAAAACTGCCTGGATATGACCCTCTGCCCTGTGATCTGGGTGTTCCTGTTGGAGCAGGGGGGTTGGACTAGATGATCTGTAGAGGCCCCTTCCCACCTCAGCCATCCTGGATTTTGTGATTCCAGGCAGTCCCCTGCTTAGACAGGAAGGGGGTAGGAGCAGGAGTATCACCAGACACTGGGGACTGGTGGTGGAGGCAATAAGCTTGTGGTGCAGCTGACACACAGGGGGAGTCCAGGCGTGTCCCTTCCTGCCCATGCAAGCTCCTTTTAGGGCTCTTAGTGTTTACTCGAGAGATGAGATAGCTCGCAGCAAAGAGGAGCACTGGTGGGAGGGTGCTTTCCTCTCTGGAAGTTGCAGTACTGCTGTCATAACCTAAAGGCCGTTCCCATCCACTGTCTCCCTGTGGCCTTCTTGACTGCAGTGGGAACCTGGCCACGGAGCAGAAGCTTCATGTGGTACTGCCAGCCTGCATCACTAGATTCAAAGCCTTTTTTAATTTTAATTTTAATTTTAATTTTAATTTTAATTTTAATTTTAATTTTAATTTTAATTTTAATTTTAATTTTAATTTTTATTTTTATTTTTATTTTTATTTTTATTTTTATTTTTATTTATTTTTTTTCCACATTGCTTCTAACTATGGAGACAAACTTCCCCCCTGTGTCTGCGGTCATGTGCTGAGTGTCCCCAAAGCTCCCTTCAGCCGTGAGTGTGCTGGTGTCTGTTGCTGCTTATTGGTGGGAGAGAGAAAGCCATGGGATGACCTTTGGTATTAAGAATAAAACCAAACAAGTTAAGAAAACCCCACCCCTCAAGGTTTAGGACACTCTGTTCTTCCCCACCAAAGCCCTCTGTGCAGATGTATCAGCCAGCTCCAAGGGGTACAAAGGAGAAGTAAATAGAGGAAACAGAAAATGGGTTTTACACTTCATAACAACTCTCCATTTTTTTTCCCCTCACAGCAAATTCTCTGAGCTATTCTTTGAACTCTCTGATCTGTGAGAA